TAATTCATTTCAACCTCCTTTTCTTCTTCCTATCCTTTTTGCCTTGTTAATTGTTGCACTGGCCATTTGTCCATTTTTGAATCCTTTTTTGTGTTGTCCTGTCATTAAATACACATAACCATTTATTATTATAATCTTGCCATTGACTATCATTTGAGGACTGCTTTTGTTGTATCATTACAGTAATAAAACCAATTTAACTTGATATTGACTCAAATATAATTAATCTCAACATCAACTGAGGACGTTAGATTAACACCAACAATCATTATTCAGGCTGATCCAGATCTATCATATTTCACTTATTCTGGTTCCAGTTTGTATAGGACTTGTTAAAGAGACAGATTTGGATATCCAATGTATTATGTAGTAGCATCAGGCAAAAATAATACCTTCTTCATTCAGTCTTTTGGTGTCCAGTTTAATTATTTACTCCAATATTGAACGTTTGTATTGGTTCTTAATTTTAATGAACGATATTTAACGAATCTTCTGAATCTCATCGATAAACAAGGTATTCAGCTCCAGATGTCCTCGTATAGTCATAGCTATCAATGATTGATGAACAATGAATTGGTTATCAGTCTGAAATTGAACCAAAATAAATAGTTAAATTGTACTATTCTTAGGCTACCAATCAATTTGGAGTATAAATAAAGTTGAATGAAGTATTGATTGAAGCTTCAGGTTGACTAGACTGCAAAGTTATGAAAAAAACGTTAACAGTTTTTTTTCCAACCATCAGTTTGAAACTTGCTCCAATTGTGCTTGTGATTTATAAATTGCAATCTTTGGTAATCAGTATTATAACAGGTGATTTGAAATTCAAGATGATGTTGATGAAAAGAGCTATGAAAAGCTGATAATCCAAGTAAAAGTTAAACCTAGATTATTGTCAATCTTTAGTGTTTTCACTTGAAGCTGTTTTGGTTTCCAAATAAACTGGTTAATACTTTAGCCATTGAATTAATTTCAATTGTGATTGATTTTCACTGATTAAAATTTATCATCAAGATCACCAGAATTGTTTATCAATCTATTAATCAATGTCAACTCGTAAAATCCCTTCATTAAAATCAATTTTGGATCAAAAGTCAATTCTTGAGCCTTCTTTGTTTGAATTTTTCTTTCAAAAATTTCTTCTGCCTTATTGTCTTGGTTAAGTCTTGTTGCATTCAATGCTTCATCATATTTGATAAAAAAAAGGTTAATCCACCGGAAGTTTGACAGCAACTGATTATCTCAATATCATCAGCATCCTAAAGACTCAATTGTGAGATGACACTATTTTGACACAGTTACTATTCATGACAGCATTTGAATATTGTTCTGGATAAGCTTTGAAGATAAGCTTTTGCTTTTTCTTTTGCGTCAAACATTATACTTGAATGGCCTTTGGTTGTTTGTTTCTTGCTCTTTTTCACATCACTTTTCCTAATTCAGTCAGAATTGTTCACCGGCTCCTGTAAATTGGTACCAATCAGATAAAGATAAATAAAAACTTGAAAGGCAATGTTTGATAACCCAATAATAATGTTAACTGTAAACAAAAAATACAAATTGTCTTGTTTTCTTGTTGTTTCTCTTGTTGTTGTCTTGTTATCAAGTGTTAAGTCTAATACTTGACAAGAGAATAAAATATTTTACCATTTATTCCATCTTCTATTTATTATTTCTTGGTTTTGTCATGGTGAACATGATGATGATTGAAGTTTACGTTTTGTCCAAAAACATCCTTAAGGGTTATGTTAATATTGAATCTAATTTGCCATTCCACCAATTGACCTCTAGTTTACATGGGCTTTACAAACAACAGGCCAACAGTATCAAGGGTCAAGAATACATATTGACACTGATAAATATTGTTCAGTTTGATTATCAATCAGTTGACAAGAAACGCTGTGGTAAAAATAAACACCATCTAACTGGAAACCAACGTTTCTCGCTAGCGATTAGCAATGAATTTGATTGAAAAGTTACAACTCCATCCATTAGTTAGTTATATAATAATCTAGCAAGGAACAATTTACCAATCACGAGTAAACAGCCATCCTAACTGGTCACAAATGTCAATAAGATTGGCAACACTGTTAACATTAGCTCAATGTTAATCCAAGTATTGACTTTATGTTGACTTTTTTTCATCCGATTTCTGTATCCAATTCACTCGTTTAAAGGTTAATGTCTAATTGTCAACTGTTACATGTAGAAACCTAATCACAGCTAGTTAACTTTTAAATGATGGAACCAATTGAATGAGTTGATATTTCCAATGAAACCAGACGATGTAGGACTGATGTGCGCCTCCAAGTCAATAAGTCTTTAACATTCACTTGTCTATATTAAGGTTGTTGAAAAGGTTAATTTTAGATGTTTCAGTAATTGAATAGTAACTATTAATCAATTGAATTGTAAATGAAGTATTAACACACTTGATACAATTTACAAGGGAAAAAACAAGAACAACTGTTTCATCATAGTTCAATCCGCATTAAGCGAGGGAAAATAGTTGAAGCGCAAAAATTAAACTTACAACATTACTTACTTGTTAGACAAATGATAAATGAAAAGCTTAATTTTAAGCTTTTAAGTTGAGACGTATTATTGAATAATAATTTGTTAAAATTATCTGCTAATTCAATTGTGATTTAATGTAACAGGATTAATGGCTGTAACTGGAATATACAGAAAAGTGTAAATCACAATAAATTGATGGATGAAAACAGGAAAAAATAGCAAATTTAAAAGCTATTAAACATCCAAGAAGACATTAATTTTTGTATGAAAAAATCGGTTTTTCAAATTATGCTGAGACAATTAGTTAATGGTGACGATGTTCTTCTATTAATATCAAACATTTGTGATTAATTTTAATTTTTGAATACGAATCACAAATGTATCACAAATGAAAAAGTGTTTGTCTTCATGTGTAAAACAACAAGATTTGATACAATTGCAAACAAAACAAAGGTAAAGTTGATAGTATTTTAATGGAAATGTTAATCTTTTACATTTCAAATTGTTAGACAACCGTTAAAATCTATACAATATATAAAGTCAAAGTATCAAATTTTTGCGTCAAGATTGTGGCTAAACGGAGCGGGTTCCAAGAAAAAAAATTACACAGTCTGAAAGCCCTGATTCAACTACAACGACGAAAAATAGAAAACCTAACCTCAGAATCTCATGACCTCTGAGAAATTCATGAAAATAGAGAATGGGGGAAAAAATGTAGAATCCGTATCCAATAACATTGAGAGAGGGGGAAAAACTTTTTTGTTATTCAGGTTGTTGGTTCATTGTTGGACCAGGATTTTATGTAAAACTTTGTCATTTGAGTAAAGAGTAAAGAGGTGACCGGGTTTTTTCACCAGTTTTTTTACCGGTTTTTCACCGTATTGTTCACCATATTGTCCACCACTCAATCCAACACATTTACCAAATCAAAATCACTTTTTAAAAAAACTTTTCTCAACAAAATTGTCTATCACTTTAGAGTGGCTTTTTCCACCACTTTTTTCCGCCACATTTTCAAACAAATTTTTATAAGATTCTCTACCACTCAGAACTCAGATTCTGAGAAAATTATTTTATTTCTATTTTTTTTAATTAATCATGTTGACCACTTTTAAACCATCTAGCACATCCACTATTAATTACCATCATATCCCGAAAAGTGGTCAAAAATTTGGTGGATTTGGGTGGTGGACAATACCGTGAAAAGACGGTTAGCATAGGTGGTTAAAAGAAATTTACGATCAGTCATGATCGTGTCTCAGCTTGTTAATCATAATTAAAGTCTAATGCCAGTTTCCTTAGCTACCATTGGAATCCGTGACTATTGATTAATATCATGAAACATTCAAATGTGAAACTTGAACCTCTCAATGTCAATGTTTAAAAGGTATCAACTTGAATTAATAAAATGAAAATGGCAGATTTTTTTCCTCTTCATTCCTCACTCCAGCATTAGTATTAAATCATTGGGATAAAGTCACTGGGAAAGTGAATCAGTTATGCTTTTTTATAATGTTTGGTTATGATTAGGAGACTTATTAGTTGATTTGTATTTACATTGTCAATCCTGGCTGACATGTTTTCCTTGCTTATCTTGAATTTAACTCATTTTTTTGACTTGCATTTCATGTGTAACATTTAGTCAATTAAAAGAGATGCAAAAAATCAGATGCCAATATCATATTGGTTATTAAAATTTTGAAAAAAATAGTCATTTTGGTTTACTTTTTCATAGGATTATTATACTTCATTCATATTTTGCTGGATCAAATAACATTTTACTATTTGTTAGTGTATTAAACTTGGATTGTATTCAATATCAGTAGACAAAGGAAAACAAAAAATAACATCAAATTTATCATAATTAACTTTGATAATAATGATCCACAAATAAGGACATTTAACTCAAATTACGTTGATATTTTGCTTTGTTCATAACTTTGGTATTTTAGATTGCTGTATAGACCATTTCAACTCTAATCAACATTTGTATATTCATTAACTACTGAGGACATTGAGTACATTGTTCATTAAGTGCATGTGTACATTCAACTCCGTTAATATGAATTGATAGATCATCATTAAATTGGTCAGTTTTTGCCATCATTTGAATTTACAATTGTATTTGAGCTTCTTGTGGAATTGGACGAAAATTTTATTTCTAATATTGAACCTAAAATATAGAAAGCTAATCAATTTAATATGTTAAGATAATTTTGTTTTCTATTAGACTAATGTTTGTCTTTTAATATTCATTTTGACTTATATTTCAAAAAAAAGTATCTTGTTACATTTATTTTGATATTTGCGCCATTGGGTAAGTCGAGGGAAAATCTAATGATAATTGATGAATTAAGGCGCCAGCTTTTTAGTCTGTTGTTCTGTTACCGTTGAACAATCTGATTTTTGTGATCACTTTTTTATGACTTTCTTGTCAATTGTTTATTGATTTATCGTTTTTTTTCTTCATCTTGTTATTTCAGGTAGTACACTGGGTGAATCAATATCGGAAGACACAAACATAGCTTTAGATGAAGTAAACAACATTTTTCGTCATATTTTCCCAATACTTTCTGATAAAGGTCGTTATCCTTGGAAAGACAATTTGGTTGGACTTCATTTGTTATTAAACCATCATAACCATCCTAATTATTCACCAACCAACCTGCTAACTCAATCTAACCCTTTACCCAATAATCAAGGCAGTGGCGGTGGTGGTGGTGGAGGTGGCGGGGGAGGTGGAGGAGGAGGCAGTGGTGTTAGAATTAGTGACATGAGAGGCATATCAACAGAGGATTTAATTGCAACTGATTCACATCACTCTAATCCTCATCAGTATCATCACAATCCAATTATTTCATCTGATAGAAACATTGGAATTGAATCTCGTTCTCGAAACTCTCATCCAATTTTACGAGATTCATCATTGTCAGCAAATAATTTTCTGAATAAAATGGTGGCTGCTGAGGCTGTTGCTGAAGCAGCAGAAGCAGAAGCTGCAGCAGCAGCAGCGGGCTATTCTGGGATTAGTTTGATTGACCCATCACGATCGTCTTCATCATTGTCATCTGCAACTTTTCCATTAAAAAATTCATTGCCAATCACAGAATCAAACGGCAAGGAAACAGATCCTCTTTTATCACTCACCTCTTCCTCAAAATTATCTTCTGCAACTTCGTCAACATCACCATCACTTTCTTCATCTTTTTCATCTTCTGGAGCCTCCACTTCACCATTGTCACAATCCTCTTCATCCTCATCGCCATCATCGCCATCAGCTTCATCTTCGTCATCATCTTCGTCGTCATCATCACCATCATCGCCCTCATCGTCATTGCCATTACTATATTTTTACCCTAATGTTAAAGTTATTTCTCGGACTCAATTGGGTGCACCCACTGGAAGAGGTTCAACTCGATTATCAATTCACGGGCGTTCACCATCTTCATCAATTCACCATCAACCAATGTCTAAACAGCGTAGAGTTCTTGGTAAAAGTGGACCTGAATGTATGAGACGATGCATATCACAAGGATTACTTCATCCTGTCCAATGTCACTCTCTATGTTGAAACAATTTAGGATTATCTAATTGGTTCTATTGAACAAATCAAGAAAAGTAAAAAAAAATTGTTATAATTTGAGGTAATTTCCATAAAAAATTGCTTCAAACGTGTGTTAATTTCCTTTGAAAAATTTTGTTTGAAACCTCTCTAGAGCTCGAGATTTGTCTGTTAGAATCAACTGGATAATCCTGTAATCAACTAGAGTGAAATCATTTTTTTTGTTGTTCTTTCTTCGTTCATCTCTTTTTTCCTTTTCTTATTCTTCTTATTCTTTTCTTTAAACTCAAGCATCCTTCATTCATTTGCAAATTAGTGTCAACCTCTGCAAAAAAATTTTCTTCAAAACAAATTGTCTCAATAAATGTTGAATATTTGTTTCTCTACTGTCACATGTAATAATATTATATATTATAATACATGTGCTATAATTTACATGTGCATGTACATATTCATTATCTAAAATTCAAACTGAAATAGATCCATCTCGAAAATCCGTTCGACCAATTAACGTGTTAATCAAAACAGGGCTACTCGTCCTAGCGATTTCCAACGACTTAGATATTATAGATTCCATTTCAGTTTCATTAGTTCGGTCAATTTTGAATCCTTCGGCACCCAAAGCTCTAGCAGCTTCCTCATAAGCTGTGTAAGCTAATTTACAGGCTACATCAGACCCAAGAATCACTACTTGTTCCCTTTCAATTTGAGTCCAACCAGCATCATTGCCAACAATTGACACGACGTTGAGCTTATGGCGAACCATTGTATCATATTCCATAAAACTGAAACCAAGAGCTCCATCCCCGAAAATAATGACTACATTTGATTTTGGTCGAACTGCTTTAACACCAATAGCAAATCCTCCACCACATCCAAGGGTACCGAAGACACCAGGGTCCAGCCACCGAAGAGGTCCTCTTGGTTTGAGAATATAAGATGCGGTTCCTACAAAATCACCTCCATCAGCAATTATGTAAGTATCTTCAGGAAGTAAAGATTCAAGTTTGGTTAGAACAGATAATGGGTTAAGATGTTTGTCAGTTGGAGCTGACGATTTTGATAAAATCTCGGCGTCGCGTTTAGAGTCCCGTTCACGAAGAGTATTGATCCATTCAGGGTCAACAGAAAACTGACCAAGCTTCTCGGTTAAATTAAGGAAAAATTTACCAACATCAGCTTGAACTAATAATTCGGCATTCCAGAAAAATTTGTGATTTTTCTTTAGTTGAGATTTGTTTCTATTTACAGCAATAACCTTGCTCCGGGATGATAAAACACGCCCATAATCCAAGCGAAAGTCTGCCACAGTTCCAGCAAGAATAACAACATCAGCTTCTCTCAATGCCTCTCGTCTACAATGGCGCATATGAAGTGAGCTCGACTGTCCCAACAGGCCTCTGGACATTCCACCAAGATAACAAGGGATTCCAAGAGATTTTATAACTTCAGAAAGTTTTTCACCGCCAACAGGTGGAAGAATAGATTGACTACCTAAAACAATGAGAGGCTTTTTAGCCTTTGACACAATTTCAACAGCTTTGTAGATGTCATTAGATTTTGGAAATGGCAACTCGACTGGCCAAGGACGTGTTTCTTGATCCATATCAAATGCACCAGCAAACAAATTTTTGGTATACTGGTCAAGATACCAAGTAACAACTTTTTGGGTAAATGTACTGGCCCGTGCTTTACCCATGATTTCACGACGGACAACTTTGTATGGGTAAAGAACATCCAAGGGACATTCAACAAAAACAGGCCCTGGTGTATTGGATTGAGCTTGACGGAAAGCTTCACGAATGGTTGGCACTAAATCTCTAACTTTTGAAACACTGGCTTGCCATTTAGTAATTGGCTTCATCAATGACATTTGATCGATATCTTGTAAAGCTCCACGACCTTTGGCAAGAGTTGCCGTGCTACCAGAAATGATAACAACTGGTGACTCTGCCATAAAGGCATTCTGTGTTGGTGTAATTGTATTGGTTAATCCAGGACCAGCAGTAACTATTGCAACCCCAGGAATACCAGAGACTCTTGCAGCAGCATCAGCGGCAAAAACAGCTGAAGCTTCATGTCTTACATCTATTACACGAATTTCCTGTTCTTGACAACCAGTCAAGATTGGTGATATATGGCCTCCTGATAGAGTAAATACTTGCTCCACTCCATGAGTCTTGAAAACAGTTGCTATTAACTGTCCTCCGTGTTTTTTAGAATCTTCATCCACCTAAAGATAGTTACATGAAAAAAAGATCGTTAATAAAATACTGTTACTAAATTGTATTAACAGTTGAACGAGTTAATTATAAGCTAATGTAATTTACCTCATGAAAATAATGAGCAAGGATACTCAACTGTCGGATTACCATAGCCATTATCATAAGAAATGGATAAAATGTTTGCATGGCAGAGACAGTTATTAAGATATAAAACAGAGCTGTTTTAAATGATGAAAATGGATCAAAATCACTTAAACTTTGGCTCAGTATTTCTCTGAAGCCTTTGCTCAGTTCATCCATATTAGTCCACGCTGTTGACTCCATGGTTTAATTCGTAGATCACAGCCAACCCTTGTATTTGATGTATTAACGTTGAACCAAAATACTATAGATATATAAAATAATCACAATATTACAGATTAAAGTTGAACGTTGGTTTTTGGGCAACAAGTGTAACATAAAAACAGAAATGGCAAGCTTCGATTGTAAAAAAATTAAACTGCTGACATACTTTAGATAACTATTTACCTGATTCAAATTGTCAATTTTTCGTTTAATCTTGATTGCAGAGGGAGATAGAGTGAGATTGTGTAAGGGGATACAGCTGGGGATAAAGTTGTTTGGGCGTTACTAAACACTTGAAACAGGTATAAGAGTAGAAAGAGAAATGAAAATGCGAAAGTGGTTGATGGAGGCCATTTTCGTCGCTCTTTTGCTAGCCATCATCACTTGAAGAAAGGTTATCCATTTTGTTGTAACAGTTATGTAAGGATGGTAAATATCCAGACGACACTCAATATGATGAAGGAATCTCGCATATAAATGAAATTTGAACGGAAAGCTCCACGAATGGTTGATATTAGGTCATGAACTTTATAAGCTTCAACTGCCATTAGCTATTTGTTACAATGATAACAAGTGATCAGTTTCCTGCAAAGCTCCAGTGAGTTTCCCGGTAAATGAATAAACAAAATGTTGGTTCATTATTGAAAGTTATTCGTATGTGAAGTTTTAGTGGCTGAGATATTTGTTGATCCATTGGTTAAGAGTTCTGAAAAGAGACAATATGATAATTTATCGTTAATATTTCAATATTAATATTCAACATTCCTTAATCCTAAATATTATTTCGTTAATAGTTTCAGATTTAACTAAAGGATTAAAAGTCCTCGGAATAATTACAAGATAGGATGTTATCAATACTCAACCATGTATACTTCATAACCATCGTCATTATTGTGGGTGAATACAAAAAACCAGAAAATGTAATTTTTTTGCAATGAAAATAGATTCAGGAGAGGAAATCATTAAAAGGGATAAGATAATTGAAAATTACATTAATTATAATCATGTTAACAAGAGAGAAATAATTAGGTAAACTGAATCACTATAAATCAGGGAGAAAGAGAAATGAGTGAGAATGGATGAAAGGTATTTTTAAAGAGGAAAACAACAGAAATAAGTAAAATTAATGGTAAAGTTCATTGAAGAATGAAAATGGATACTCAATTTCTAATCCACATAGAAAACTCTAGCTTGATGAAGAAAAAAAATCAATGAAGATACTTTGAACTATCTGAGTATTAGGCATGTAAGATTGCAAGAATAAACGATTCATGATTTGTTGGCAATTAATGGTTAACTTTCACCAAAATTTAACAAGCTTGAGATAATATCAGCTGGGATCAATGAGATGTTAAATGAACGATAAGTGCACCAGCGGAAAGGCTCAACACAATGAAAGAATCAAGTTTGCTTGGTTGAATTTTGATTGTTATTCCATGCTAATACATTTGTGGAAACTTGATCATTCACATATTGACAATTGTCAGTTGATTAACTTCAAAATTAATGGTGAAAAAAAGACAGAGAAAACATGTTGACCTTTTAGTCTGCAAAACAAAAAAACCATCGGAACAAGCAAGATTGCACCAGAAAATACAATGAAAAAAGTATCACATTAAATACACAGAAATAAAGAGTAAAGTTTACATCATCATTCACACTAATTAATTAATTAACAATAGATATCGTTGAAATGGACAAAAACAATCAAAGAATTCATTAATTTATAATTGAAAAAAGAGCAAAAATAAAAACCTAACATGAAAAGTGTTTCACCTGATTGTATAAATTATATTGAATGTCCACAACGAGGACTCTTTGTTTACAAAAAATGGAAAGAGTTAGTGCTAATTATACTAATCAGTATTAATTATAAATTGTATTTGCTTTAGCATTTTTTATTTCTCGTGTAATTATGTAATGGAAGTAGAGACATTTCTTTGTGGAAATTGATGTTCAACATGTAAAATCGCTATTGATACAATGGTTTAAATGTCATTCATATCTGCAAACATTGAAATTTCAATAAATCATCAAACCAATAAATCTTCGGTGTGGATTGTGATTCAATGAACAAATCATTAAATTAGTTCCTGATTATACTTTTTCCGCATTCAGTTGGTCAAATGAAGCGGACTTCAAGCAACATTAAAATTAAAAATGCGAATTTTGGCTATTTTATTGTCAACGCTATTCATTTTTATAATCAGAGGTGAAGTCAGCCATGCCATTAATGTAAAATTGGATGACAGATTGCAACTTGGTAAGTAAATTTGATTGAAATTCTTTAAAATTGAATAATTTATAGCAAATTATTCTTATTGCCGCTTTACTTAAAGAGGATAATGAATTAATTATTTATATTTTTCATCTAACTTGTTCATGAAACTGACCATGTTTTACAGTCGGAAATCAAAATGGAAAAATAATAGTTGGGTTTAAGCCAGAAGCTGAACATCGAACTCAACCTAAACCGTTTCAATGGCAACAACTTTTTGGTTTAGTACCACAAGCAAGTCATACACAAACACACAAATCATCATTGAAACCAGAACCTGATCCAACACCAACACCTAATGGAATGCGAGTGAATGGAAATGATAAAACCCCATTGATAGAAAACGGTGGACCAACAGTAACTGGAACTGCTGCATTGCCACAGTCTGTAACTGATGTAGCGCCAGTGATTGGACCTGTGATTGAACCAACGGTTCCTGTAACTAATGTAATGCCAATACCTACAGTTGATATATCACCAGTGGCTGAACCTGTGATACAACCAACGGTGCAAGCAACTAACGTGATGCCAACGCCTAAAACTGATGTAATTGGAACTGTGATTCAAACACCAGTTAAAGGATCAAATCGAGCTCCAATGACAGGAAACGGTCGACCAACAACGCCTGAAAATGATGTATCGCCATTGGTTGGACCTGTCATTCAACCAACAGTAACTGGAACTGCTGCATTGCCACAGCCTGTAGCTGATGTAGCGCCAGTGATTGGACCTGCGATTCAAACACCAGTTCAAGTAACTAATCAAACTCCGATGACAGGAAATGGTCGACCAACAACTCCTTTAACTGATACCTTGCCGGCAAGTGGACCTGTGATTAAACCAACAGTGGCTGGAACTGCTGAATTGCCACAGCCTGTAGCTGATGTGTCAGCAGTGATCAGACCTGAGGTTCAACCAACGTTACAAGGAACTAACGTGATACCAATGCCTAAAACTGATGTATCGCAAGTTATTGGAGCTGTGATTCAAACACCAGTTAAAGGATCAGATCGAGCTCCAATGATAGGAAATGGTCGACCAACAACGCCTAAAACTGATTCCTTGCCGGCAAGTGGACCTGTGATCCCACCAACTAATGTAATGCCAATACCTGCAGCTGATATATCACCAGTGGCTGAACCTGTGATACAACCAACGGTGCAAGCAACTAATGTAATGCCAATGCCTGAAACTGGTGTACCGCAAGTGATTGGAGCTCCAGTGGTTGAACCTGTGATCCAACCAACAGTACTTGAAACTAATGTAATGCCAATACCTGCAGCTGATGTATCACCAGTGGCTGGACCTGTAATTCCACCAACGGTGCAAGGATCTAACGTGATGCCATTGCCTGAAGCTGTGATTCAAACACCGGTTCAAGTAACTGATCGCACCCCAAATGCTGATCGAATGCTTATGACTGGAAATGATCAAACACTAACGATGGGAAATAGTCGTCCATTAATGATTGGAAATGATCGGCCAACAAAGGCTGGAACTGATGTATCGTCAGTGATTGGACCGCTGATTCAAACACCAGTTCAAGAAAATGTTCTAACACCAATAATGAAAAACGGTGAACCAACAATGAGTGGAACTGATGGAAACGGAATTAGACCCGTTCTTCCATCAACGATACTTGGAACTAATTCAATGCCAATGACTGAACCTGTGATTCAACCAACGATTCCTATAACTAATGGAATGCTCCCACCTGTAATTGAGGTATCGCCAGTGAGAGGACCTGTGATTCAACCAACTGTTCAAGGAACTGATCGAACTCCAATGACAGGAAACTTTCGACCAACAATGCCTGGAACTGTTGAATTGCCAAGACTTGAATCTGTAATTCAACCAACAGTACCTGTAACTAATATATTACCTGGAAATAATCGGCCAATAATGCCTGAAACTGGTGGAATGACAATGGGTGGGCTTGCGTTACAACCTCAACCTCGGTCCCGATTGTCGCAACTTCTTAGGCTGCAACAAGTTCTTAGGTTACAACAACAGTTACAACCAAAACCAGAACCTAAGCTCCAACTTTTGCCTGGAGCTGATGAAATACAAATGCCAGGACCTGTAATTCAAACACCGGTTCAAGTAACTGATCGAAACCCAATGTTTGGGGCTGATCGAATGCTTATTACTGGCAAAGATCGACCAATGACTGGAACTGTTGAATCGCCAGTGATTGGACCTGTAATTCAACCTGTAACTAATGTAATGACAATACCTGCAAATGATCGGCCAATAATGCCTGAAACTGAAGCAATGACAATAGGTGGACTTTCGTCGCAACCACAGCCTCAGTCCCGATTACAGCAACTTCTTGAGTTACAACAACTGTTACAAGCAAAACAAGAACCTAGCCTTCAACTTTTGCCTGAGCCTGTAATTCAACCAACAGTACCAGTTGCTAATGTAATGCCACAGCCTGCAGCTGATATATCGCCAGTGATTGGACCTGTGATCCAACCAACAGTACCTGTAACTAATATAATACCTGGCAATGATCTTTCAATAATGCCTAATACTGAGGGAATGACAATGAATGAACTTTCGTTGCAACCTCAACCTCAGTCCCGATTACAGCAACTTCTTGAGTTACAACAACTGTTACAACCGAAACCAGAACCTAGCCTTCAACTTTTACCTGAACCAGCAATTCAACCAACAGTACCTGTAACTAACCTAATACCTGGAAATGATCGTCCAATAATGCCTAATACTGAGGGAATGACAATGGGTGGACTTTCGTTGCAACCTCAACCTCTGTCCCGATTACAGCAACTTCTTGGGTTACAACAACTGTTACAACCAAAATCAGAACCTAAGCTTCAACTTTTGCCTGAACCTGTAATACAACCAACACCACCGATAGCTAATGTAATGCCACAGCCAGCAGCTGATATATCGCCAGTGATTGGTCCTGTGATCCAACCAACAGTTCCTGTAACTAATGTAATGCCAAAAACGGGAAATGATGGAATGACAATGAATCGACTTGCGTTGCAACCTCAACCTCGGTCCCGATTACAGCAACTTCTTGGGTTACAACAACTGTTACAACCAAAATCAGAACCTAAGCTTCAACTTTTGCCTGAACCTGTAATACAACCAACACCACCGATAGCTAATGTAATGCCACAGCCAGCAGCTGATATATCGCCAGTGATTGGTCCTGTGATCCAACCAACAGTTCCTGTAACTAATGTAATGCCAAAAACGGGAAATGATGGAATGACAATGAATCGACTTGCGTTGCAACCTCAACCTCGGTCCCGATTACAGCAACTTCTTGGGCTACAACAAATTCTTAGGTTACAACAACAGTTACAACCAAAACCAGAACCTAAGCTTCAACTTTCACCTGCAGTCCTGCTTTCCTCTATACTTAAATCTGCATCTCAATCTGAATCTAATGCCGTTTCTCAACCAAAATCTAGTCTGAATCTACAGTCAATAATTAAGCCCCAGTTTTCTTTAGGACCTAAATTTCCTGTGTCAATGCAACCAAAAATAAATGATAACGCCAATTTTGGAATAAATCCTATTCAAACTTCCATGGTTAACCCCCTTCTTCCTACGGTTTTGCAAGTTCTTAAACAATTATCACAATTAATTTGTAGTAAGTTTAACTTATATTTCTATTATTTATATAATATTTGAAACTAGAAACTAGTATTTAATAATTTGTGAATATAATTGCTTTTTTCTCAGACGGAGTCGGCAGAAATGAAATATTGAGTGGGAACAGTGCTCTAAATGGCGGTACGTTATTTTTGTAATACTAATATTTAAAAATCATTAACGACATCTTTTCTATTTATCTAGGTTTAAGTGTGCTGTGTGATGAAAATCTTTGGTCCGCACCAGCATTCACTAGTCAAGCAAATCGCGTCATTAGTCTTCTTCAAAACCGATTACCCAAATTTGGAGTAAAAATTTAACAGAAAATTCTGACAATATTAATAAATAAAGTGAATAATAAAGAGTTAACTGCAAACGATAAAAATAAACATTAAACAAAATTTAAAATTATGAAAATGAACTGTTCAGTAAGAAAGCTATTTGTTAATACTGGAATTTTGGATAACCAGTGTAATATTTACTTTTACAATAATCATTCAAAGTAAACATTTCAAAGCTTGAGTTGTAATTTATCACTTATTCGGAGTTTTTTTTAAAGCAATTAAGGCTTAATATCCACCACGATTATACCCGCCACGATTATGTCCACCACGATTATATTCACCATGATTGTAGCCGCCTCGATTGTACTCGCCATGATTATACCCACCACGATTGTATCCACCACGATTATATCCGCCACGATTGTATTCACCCTGATTATAACCACCGCGACTATACTCGTTGTGATTATAACCTCCACGACTATACTCGTTAGGATTGTACCCTCCACGAGTATACTCATTATGGTTGTACCCTCCACGATTATCACGATTATAACCACCTCCTTGACCTCTATTATTGTGATTTCCTCGACTGTAAACTCCTTGAAACCCTGCACGAGGTTGGGCATGATGTTGGATAAATCTGTGACCGGATTGACCTAGAGAAGCGCGCTGAGGGAGATGAGACATTCCAATCATGGGTCTAAACTTGTGATCGGCACCTTCAGGTTTCAGTACTTTAGGGGGTGCCTTAGCACTTACTAATCTAACTGCTGGAAAAATATGATCTTCAGGATAAATTGGATCATAAAATTCAACACATCGAGCACTTTTGTGGAGATGAGAATATTTAGCACTAAGACGTAATTCACCAAACATTCCATTAAATAAAGTTGGTGAAATTTCCAAGTGGTCAACTTTTTTACTGAAAAGTTCATCTAAATATTTAAATGCATCTTCTTTGTGCCGTGAAACAAAAAATAAATGCGGTCCTAAAGAGTTTCGCTCTTTTTCAGAATCGCTTAGATTAGGATAAACATTTTCCAAAGCTGAATGAAGTCGTGATTCGTCGATGAAAGGTAGAAGAGCGACACCTTGCCATTCTTGCATTTTACCATTTAGATCGATTCGGAAGTTTTCTGGATAAAAATCAATTATGTCAGATTTTGGATCAGTCATCAATATTTTCCAAGAGTCGGGTAAATTACTAGAAGATGCAGCGGGGAAGACACTCATCAATTGTTCCAAAGGTTTGAACGGTTTAGATTTTCGATTGAATTTAACTTCAATCTTGTCAATACCGACAAAATCTGATGCGAAAGGTGCATAATGGAAGGGATAAAACCACTGCCAATCAGGACATCCTTGATAATAGTACAATAGCACCCAACACAAGCCAATAACATATTCTCGGGAAATTATACGACTAATACCATCGGGTTTTGGTGCGTCAAATTTATGAAAGTAATATCGATCTTTCCAGCCTTCCATTCCAAGCATAATATCGTCATCGGGTTCATCATCAGACTCTTCATCGGTTTCATCGTACTTTCTTTTCCTAGGGCTAGGTCCGGTTTCCTTTGCACTTTCTTGTTTACTTTCTTCATTTTCTTGTTTCAACATTGAGCGAAAAGCTTTAAGATTAGACATTGAATCTACTTTACTTGTTCCGACTATGGCTTGAGGTGTTAACCAAGGAGATCCTGAAGTTGCTTCTTGGCGCATTTTTTCCATCTCTTTTGCTCGATTAAGTTCCTTATTTTTTTCTTTATTACGAGCACGGAATCTGGCATCATTATTTGCTCTACGAATGAAAATTTCGTCCTCTACCCTACCTAACTCTTTAAGAATTAGTTGGCACCTCTTCAAATTTACAATACCATCTTTGGTTAAATAAATATCTTTAGCAGGAAATTTTTCATTTATATCCTTGTAAATTTTTATCAATCGGTCTATTGCTCCTTCTCGTATTTCCAAAGAGGGCAGGTGAGGTAGAAAATCATTACCGACAAAGAAACATAGAAACACAAAATCGTCAATAAAACGTTCGAGGTCTAGTTTTCCACTTTCTTGTTCCAGGTATTCACGTAACACATTTAGTCGAATGAATATGAAACCAGGTTCAGATACAACAATGGCCTCTTCCGTAGGGTCATTCGGTTTCCCTTCACATTCTTTCATTTCATGTCCATATTGACCACAAATATCACAAGGTCTAGGTTGATTTGGTATAAACTCTTCTCGTATAATGGTGAAGTTGAGTTCATGGGTTGCTAATCCTAACATAATAAGATCTGCGTCAGCTCCACATAAACAGTGCGATAGATTGGCATCGTAATTTTCTTTTGATCTTTGACGTCTAATATACTCCATGATTTTGTGTTCCCCTTCTCCTGGAGCTGATGCATCACTGAGAATAATCAACAGATCTTTGTGCCAAAGCTTATTTGACTCTGAATAACGAAAAAGAGTTAGCAAAAGGTGCAAAAAATTGAGCGCGCTCATTTAACAAATATCATACCTTCATCATTTTCAGCATGATCAAGCTTTTTATTAATCCAAGCTTGAAGGGCATGACTTAAATTTATCATAAATTCAGTTCCAGGAGTAATTACATTAGAATCAAAGTGACTCTTCTTAGTTTCGTCTTCATCAAAAACGACTCCTTTTTCTTTCAATTCTTCACGAATACGAGTAACTTCTGATTTTTTCATTATTGACTCCTTAGCTGCTCTAAATCGTCTTGACCGTTGTTGATTCATCTTAGCTCTTGGAGCAACACCGTCAACAGCCATGTAAAGCAATTTCTGAGGCTTCAGTATTTTCATCAATTTATCAATGTACTCAAAAATAGCTTCGAACATTTCTTCCTCATTTTCCGGAGCTTTTTTATACTCTGGATGAGTGCAAGGATGAATTATACCATTCATGTCTAGATATAAATTATCAAATGTGTAATCCACCGGCACATTTGGATCCACTTCAACCACGATGGAGGGAAATTTTTTAGAAAGCCAGCGAAAGAATGCTGGTACACCCATAGTTCAGTAGAAAGCTTGATTATTTTAGGTCCAAATAATGATACACTGGTTACTCGAGAATAGTAAAGTAAACAAACAACAATTAAACAAGGGATTGCTCAAAAAATCTTATGCTTTATCCAAAAGGATTCAATCCCAATGAGGCAACTTCAAAGAGTAAAGGAAGAAGAGACTGCAATTCAATAGTAAGTCTGAACCAAAATTTTTTTTTGGTGTCAGAAGATGGCGCGAGAAAGAGACTCTTTCTTTTTACTTTCTTTACAAATTTTTTACTCTCTTTTTCTCTTTCATTTCTCTTTCTTTTCAGCATTTAAAATTAAATCAAGACAATTGATATTAACTTTAGAAAAGGCTTTTTTGATTGTTTTTCAATGTTTTTAATGTTTTTTTAATTGATTTTTATTATTTTGATGCTTAGATTTCTTATTTATGACCATTTAACAGAAAAAAGGCCATCGCAACTAGTAAAGTCTGAATTGATCAAGCAAAAGTCTATCAAAACGTTTTCATAGTCATTGTATTAAGGTTTAGGTAATATTTTGGTTACGATAAACTTTTCCTGCCAATAAATTCTGAATTTATTCTTTATACTCCTTAATACAAGGACTATTAAAACTTTTTGGTAGACTTTTGCTTGATTAATTCAGATTTTGTTAGCTTTAAAGGCATTATTCTGTAAAATTATCACAAATTTATCATT